AAACTACTACATTATAATGGGTTATATATTGGGGTTATTCAGGGATAATGGAAAAGAAAATGGAAGCTACTACATTATAACAGGTTATAGGGATAATGGAAAAGAACATGGAAAACTACAGGCGTTGTAGGGATTCTATAGGGGTTATATACGGGTTACATTGGGATTATAGGGTACACTCCCCCAAACTAACATGGAAACCCATATAGCCCCATTTTAGAGGGACTATAGTCTTAATAGGGCCCCTGTTGGGTTTCCATGTTAGTTTCCAGGAGTGTATGTATTGGGGTTATATTGGGATAATGGAAAAGAAAATGAAAACGACTATTCTATAGGGGTAATACAGGGGATATACACTGGTCAGTACTAATTGTCCCTTGCAGCTACCACTGCAGATGAATACTGCTGTCTGGCAAGCTATGCTTGCTTTACTTGATTGGTCATGCTGTGGGAGGTGGTTGGAAGGGACTGCCGTGGTTGGGGAAGGGTCACTTCTTGGTTGGTAAGTGGGTAACCTTCAAGCTCTCTAGATGTACGTACTATGTAAGCTTACCAGAGCCATCAGAGTTCCAAGGTGGTTTTGGGGGTGGCAGGGAACTCAGCAGAAAGGCTTTTCCGGGAGGTGAGGATAGAGGGCGACGTGAATGCTTGCTACCATCACTACATATTTCCAGGATCCCTAGGGTTTCCCCTATTAGGCAAACTTCCATGATATATACAGCAAAGCATTGTGCTTGACGAAGAGTCTGGGGCTATTATCGCTTTGAGTAGGTGAAGAGAGTTTCAGTTAGCCCTACCGAGGAACATTTCCTCGGTTGCTGGATCCGGCCACATCCCTTCCGGACTCCTGGCTGTGGAATACGAACTTGGCATGAGTAAGCCCCAAGCATGAGGATTCAGACCTGGAGGTCTGCGTTGGAACCCCGTGCGTAGCATCAGCTTGCGCATAAGCTCTCGCAGCATCTTGCGCAGCACCTGGGTTGAAAGCTGGATAACGAATGGTAGGGGAAGACATGCCTTTTGATTGCCACGCTGGTAAGAGGCACATGGCTTCAGAAAAAGAAAAGGGGAAGACATGCATTGAAGACATGAATTGAGTCCTCAGAAGCCCCTTCTGGATTCCAGCTGAAGCCACGTAGTCGCCCTTTTCCATCCATGGCGCAGTCTGCAAGGATTCCCTTATGCAGCGTCGAAAGCTGCCGCCTGCCTACAAGATGCATCCAGCTTTCTGCTTCATGCCATGATGACGGTTGTTTGCGTGAGCTCCTGCTGGTCATTATTGCGACCAAACAACTTGCTGCCATTTACCCCGTGGATTGACAGGATATTCAGTCTAGGGGCCACCCGGAAACGCAAATCACACTTAGAAGGAATCTGGCTGAGTCGCAGGAGGAGCTCTTCTGCAAAGCAGAAAGGGGGGCGGATCCCAGTGGGAGAGAAGTAGCCGAGTCAAGAAAGGATAAGCCTCAGCAAGTTTCGGGCCTAGTATGCATATATAAACTCGAAACTCCCAGTCCTTAACCTCAAGCCCTAAGACCTAAACCCTACTACTCTAAATGCTACGATTTCCTGCACACAAGCCGCTAAACTCTAGCCTCTATAAATCCAAGGCCATGAACCAGATGACCCGGTGCCTAGTCTCAGCTTGGACTTAATGTATAAACAAGTGGATTTGATGTCTGTGCAAGCCCTCAAGGTGATGGATGCTGTTCTGAGCCCTTAAAGCAGATGAAAACAGGAATGGAGTCGAGGTTCTTTTGTTACGGCTGAGTCTGCAAAGCAGTCAAACTGTCTTGAACCATCGCTTTGGACCGCGTGCAAGCAGAGCTGACGTGCTCAATCACACAATCCGAGAGAATCAAACATGTCTGGCTCAATTGAGGAATTTGGCTGTTGAATGGGCGCGGTTTGGCATCCGTGTGAATGCAGTGGCGCCGGGCGCTATCGCCACGCCACTTGTGGCAAAGGCGGGATGTTGAAATGCCGAGAGGGTTTCCCACTCAGGAAAACTCTCAAACTTTTACTAAAATATAGCTATAGCCTATATCGTCCCCTATGGGTTAGTACCCATATGGGTACTCAAGACCATTCCGGCACTTATGTATGTATGTATGTATGTATGTACGTACGTACGTACGTATGTATGTATGTATGTATGTATGTATGTATGTGAATTACCGAGATGGCTTCTATGAGCGACCTTGTTTCAACCAGGTCCTGAACAGGGAGTACCCAGAGATTAGGTATTTGATAGACCTTGCCTGCCTCTGTTGTTTCCCCACGCCAAAAGTTTAGTCCAATATGAGCAGGGAAGCCTTGCTAGGCCCCGCAGAAGGTTTTAACTGTGAACCCTACATGAGCTACTGTGAAATTAACCTTACCAAGGGACCCAATTTCGCCCCTAATGGCGAACCCATGTCCATTTAATTGCATGGGAAATATTGACAGTAGCTCAGATGCTTACCTTGCAGGCCAACCCTACCTACATCGACGACTTCAAGGGACGTAAGCCTCTCGGGCGGCTGGGCGACGTCAAGGAGGCCGGCTAAGATGGCTGCCGGTACCGTGCAGTCCGGACATGCTTTTGGAAGGTATGCTCGTTTATGTTGTTATGGGAATTTGCATTAGCCCCTCCTGGACGGCCGGAAGGCTCTACCGAGCGCTTTCTGCGATCCATGTCACTTTGGGGGAGCATAGGGATCAGCCGCCAGCAGTTCCCGCACATGCCTGGCAGTAGGTCGTAGAGTTGGCGGTGCTTCCCTAAACTTCAGACAACCACTGCGTAATCCTTTCAGAACCCCAGCAAATCCTATAACCCCTTGTTATAAAAGCCCCTCAACCCTATACATTGGCGTTGCAAAAACAATGAACCTACACGTTGACCTTTCTGGAGCCCGTGTCAGGTAGCCTGGCCTATTGCCTTCCTTGCTAGTGGGGCGGCAGCCTTCATAACCGGGCAGACGTGCCTAGAATGCGAATGGACATTAATAGGCCTACATAGAGATATTTGATAGTATGGGTTTGGCGATCGGAAGATTTTGCGTTAGAAGTTCTCACAATTTTGCGCCCCTGTTCTGGGGTGCCCAGATGTTTTTGTTCGTCATTTTTGAGAACCTTTATGAAGCCTAATCACCGCAAAGCCCCGAGACCTAAACTCCAAAGGCTACATGTGGATGGTGGCTTCACGGCCACAAGCTTCAATGAAGTCCCTGACTACTGGGCCGAGTGAGCAGATGCAAAAGAGCTTCGGTTCTGCTTGCCTTTTGGTCATGGGCTTTTGAGCAGGTACAAGGGTCCAGCCTTTCAATGCCTTCGGTCGGGTGCAGGGTTTAGGCTTGGCAGGGAACAACGGCAGATATGTAAGGCTTTAAAGCCGGCTAGATAGGATTCTGTGCTCCAGGCTCATGATGACAATCTGAGTAGCAGTAGGTATTTGTATCGGAGATTCTGAACCATAATCCGCAGGACCCTGCTGGTGTAGTTGATGCTGATTTTCGCGCATCTGGATTGCAGGGTGGAAGTTTCGATCATAGCCTAACTGGAACTCCGCGGCTTTCCTTAGGGCATCGGGCAAGTGCCCCTCCGCCATCCTCTCAAGAAATCGACTTTATCATTTTGTGTGGAGCGCTTGCAGATTATTTGGCAAAACCCTGAACGGGGAACAGGCCGCTGTGCCGATCTTGAGCCTGCTGCACATCAGGACACTTATCCAATGTGAGCAGAACACTGTTTCAATGTTAGTTATTCCTGCCGCGGGTAGCATAGCCCCCTCGTAGTAGGACAGTGGCCTCGAAACGGCCCCTTGGGACAGGACTGCACTTGCTGCCACTTCCGCTCTGTGTGAGTCATGGTCGCGTACATGCAGGCGCATCCTGTGAGACCCAGCTGGCCGATGGAACGTCTTGGCTCAAAGGGCGATGCGGGTGGAGAGCCGGCCGTTTGCCGGTAGCCCATGTAGTGAGCCGCCGCTCAGGTAGTTTCCCACATTGTCGGTTCACTTCCCTCTCAACCTGAGACTTGCATGGGGCACTACACAGCTTGCTCGAGTTTTGCCTGAGTATGCAGGGGGCAGACGACCATGCAAGCTACAGTGTAGTCTTCGCGCACACGAAGAACAACCACCAGATGCGCATTTCACTCCAAGCAGACATCTGCAACACGGAGATAGCCCGCAGCAAAATGCTGCGTTGAACCGTTTCACATCCTTTGACAAGGCCGTGTTATTTTGAGGATTACTTCCTAGGTGGTTCGGGGCTTAGCATCGTGTGGCAAGCATCATAAAGAGTGAGGCGGCCAAGCTTGGCAATGACCTTGTATCAACCCAGTGGAAGATAATATTCGTATGTGTCCCCGCGAAAAAGACAATCCTTTCAGTTTCATCGGAAAGCTGTCTGAGTACATGGGGCATCACTGTTATCATAATGCTGCTGGGACTTTACAGAAGAAAGCGAGCTTGCATAGCAACCCATCTGTGGAAGTTCATGAGGTCAGTGCTACTCGCTGCCAAGTGTGGTCAAATCAGTGAGACTTGAACCCAAATCAGTACTGCAGGAGGTTTACTACTTGCAAATGCTCTATTCCTCCATCATCCCGCTACCCTCATGCGGCTTGGGGCCTTGAGATTTGAGGTATCAGTGATTTAGGCTTTGAGGGTCCAAGGACAAAGGTTCAGAGTTTGCAGGATTCAGCGTCTGCTCCTTTGAGGCATCTAAAGATTATGTCTCGATGTGTAAGATTTGGGTTTCAATTTCCAGAGCTTTAGGGTTTGTAGCTTCAAAGTTTAGGGTTTTGAGAGTTGAGGGATTGAGAATCTGAGGATCATTTTGCCCACCAACACAAGCATGAGATCTCCAAGTGTGCTGCATGCCCTTTGTGGCCTCCGTAGCTCAAGGATTATATTTTCAGAGCAAGAGGATGGGGGTCATCCAAAACCTGCAGAAACACGTAGTCTCCTTGGGGCTGCAACTTCCCGGTATCGGGAATTTGAAATCTTGTTTGGAGACATGAGGTTGTTGGTAGCAAGCTCACGACGTGGGACCTTCTCCCTTTCCCAGAAACGTCATCTTGCGGGGCGATAACCAAACTCCAAACCTGAAGACTCAACCCTTAACGCTTTATCTCCTCGCGAAACCTTCAACCCTAAACCATGTCGCTGCACGGTTGTGATGGTGGAGGCGAGAACTATTGGTAGCATGGCTCCGGGTAAGCCGCCCGGGTCTGAGCAGCTCATGGGTCAGGGTTCAGCCCATCTGTTTTTTTTTTTGGGGGGGGGGCTCGCAGTTACGGTTAGTATTTTGTGATTTGGGATTTGGGGTTGAGACTTCAGGATGGTTTAGGGCTGTAGGTCCCAGACTGTCATGGAAATTTGGGCCCTTGCACATACCGATAGTTAATACTTCTTGCTCAACCAGGGCGCTGCAGAAGGAAGTGAGATGCAAGTTGTGCTGCTCAGGCTTAGACCTCCATCTAGAAAGTAACAACCCAGCAACCCAGTCCCCTGACCATGTGAGCCATAGTCTAAACTCCTAGTATCACCCTAAATAACCCTAATAGTAGACCCGTATATAACCGACTATATAACCCCCTTAAAGGAGTTTAGACTACGGCTCATGTAACTTGCAGGGCCAGCGGCCAAGCCCCCCCTTTATCGACAGGACACGACAATTGTTACGACAGAAATTGAGAGTAGAAACAATAGTAGTCATCGTGACAGCTGCAACAAGTCCGCCGGCAATGACAGTACTAACAGCTGCTGCAGAAGGATGAGAAAAAACTTTCTCCCGAAACTCTAAACCCCAAACCCTAAACCCCTCCCTTCAACCTTACCCCCAGCAGCGGGCGCCCAGGTCCAAAGGAAGCAAGGACTGCCCCTGTGGCGGCTTCCCTTACTGGTGCTTAGTGGGGAATAGGGAATATAGTCCCTACATAGCCCATATTTGATATATTCCTTCATCCCTACTAAGAACCAGTAAGTTCAGGGTTGAAAGATCCCTGCTTAGAGCCTTCCGCATGTGCGTCGTTGTGAGGTGAACGTGGAAAGGTTTGGGGTTTGGGGAAGTATGGTCTTCCTCTTCTGCCGCAGACATTGCTTGGCCAAGTTGTCTCCAAGCCTGCAAACCCTTAACCCTACTTAGAGGTTCAGGGTCATTACAACCCAAATAAAACGATATCACGGGTTTCGAGGGGCTTGTCATCAGGTTTTCAGTCGTAAACGGGGCCTCATTACCCTAAATCCTATTTGAGTTTGATAACCTGATACAAGCCCCCTCCGATTGAGATATAATTGCCCTGAACCTGTAGGTAAATAAAGTGAACCCTGGAAGACTCTGTGTCTCTGCTGGTCTTCCACTCGGTGGACCCAAGGCGTTTCCCGCAGCATGGGATATCACGTTTTGATGGAAGCAGCAGCGTACTTAACCCAAACTACAGAACACGAACTTGACTGGAGATTCTACAGGTGATGGCCTGAGCTTGAGCGGCAATGTAGCAGGCTTATATGATTTGACTTTAGGCTCATGTGAGGTCTCCTTCATAAGAACCATAGGCGAACATTGCTTGCAAACATTCAGGTTGCTATAGTAGCCTCTCCTTTTCATGCTGTAGCCAGCAAATGTTCCGAGTGGAGATGAAAGAAAAGGTTCAGAGCGTGGGAAACTTTGAGAGACTGGTGGAGGCTCTTGAATTACAATCTTCCGTTCGACCGGTTTTTCGTGCGTGGCGTGAGGATTACTACCATGAGAGAGCAGGATTTCAGGGGGTCTGCTGGAGGTGGTTCGCCTCAGACCTTTTTGGAGGTCCTCGGTATAGACGCAAAATGGAACATCCTTAGTGCGGAAGTGTCATATTTGTCACAGCACCCCAGATTTGCGCATTCATCAACGTCAAGGTTCCCTACTTGCCTCACAAAAGTTGGATTCGGGGCCTTGCAGAAGGTCCCCATGTGTCGGGAAGAGCCCATGCTGGCCTTCAGGACCCCCCAAAAGGCGCGGAAAAGGCTGGGACTTCAGATGAGGGAAGGGACCTTTCTACATGTTGACCCAAGGAGGATATCGTCTCAGGGGGGTCTTGGCACCATGCTTGGCCATACCCGGGTGTCAAAACCCCAAACCCTAACCATCCTTCAGATATGGGGGTTTGCAGGAACGAGGGTTCCCATGGAAACCCCAATGCACTATCATCCTGATTGTAGGGAATTCCAAGAACCACCCCATTTCTGTGAACACTCTAATTTGCTCAGGTGCAAGAAATTCGCGACCCTTCCCTGGAAGCACTTTAGAAACTCAGATCTTCAGATCTTCTAAGAGTCATATCATACTTCTAGGATCCTTATTTTGGGGGTTGGGGTTGGGATTGCGCGAATCCTCTTACTACTTAAGACCCCAACTGCGCGAGAGGCCAAAAGTGGAGGTCCGAGCCGGAGTCTCGAGTCTTCTTATCGGGTTCGCATGACAAAGATACGATAATCATGATCTAGGGTGACCATAAGTTCGAGAAATGCCCATTGAGTACAGTTTCAATCAGATGTTTCAGATTTTTTACTTTCAAATCCTGTATGTCGAGTTTTGAAGGTTGGTAGGGCTGCATGGATCAATCTGCATATTTCAAAACCTATGATGAAGCCTGAACAGGGATATTAGTGATGAGGGTATCGAGGCCCAGACGCCGATCTCCGAATCCAAAGCTGTGACATATGGCCATCGCAGACTATGCGGGACCTGTCTTGCTTGCTTATCCCGAGACAAGTTCGGAAAACAGGCCCCACAAAAAGCTTCAAAACGAGAACCCTAAACACTCTCAAGCTGAAGCCACCCCATCAGGCAGGGATGTCCCGCAAAGCCACATAGTCTTTGTCCAGACGAGCTCAAGCTCATGAACCTTGAGCTCGAGGCATTCTGAGAGGTGAGATCTGTACCTTTGCCACGTGGAGCAATGAGTCTGGTGTAAGCTCAAGTAGATGTTCGATGAGCTGATCGTGAAAATGGTTTACCACTTGTTCATGATGATGAACCGGATTAGGGGTGGATGTTCTCATCTCTTTAGTCTAGAGGCTAGATCCTCAGGCTCCAAGTCTAGGCCCTGCACTCCAAAACCCTAGACCCCCATCTTGCACACTTAGCACCCAAACTCTGCCCAAGGCTCCAGACCCTTGCTCGCAGCAAAGATCGTCGAAGTGCGCGACACGCCCTGGCCTGAGCCTTGCGCATTAATGATATGGGAGTCTATCGGGTT